TGCCGAATATTGTCGAATGCCGAATGCCTTCCTGCCTCCCCAATTGGCCCCAAAACAAAGTCAGTCACTTAGTCAGCAGCGGCCAAAGAGCCAAAAGTCAGTCATTTTTAGTGACTCGACGACTGGCTTTTGTTGGCTTTTTGTTGATTTCTACGATTGGCGTACAAAATAACTGCAACTGTCATTTTCCACCAATCGCCGAATTTTCGACGGCGACGACCTGCTGGGCCTTGCCTTCTTCTAACGAAATTTGAGCAGAAGATGAAAGCCGCAGTCGAAGATACTCTTTAAACATCTGTACGCATGAGAATTCATCGTTAAGTGCTAAGACACACTGGAGGAGAGAAACAAATCTACTGCTTATGCGGAATGCAAGATAAAACTGGGGCAATAATTTCGATAGAAATGATAGAAGGATAGCAAATGTTGTGCTCTCTTTGAGTACAGGACGTTAAACTCAGTTGTAAGTATGCTAAGCCACACTGAGAGAGATAGAAACATAGAACGTAATCCCCATTTTAATAATTTCATAATTTTAATTCAAATTTCTCAAATGATTTTGTAGAAAACAATTCAAGACCCTTGCTATAGTCTCAACGATGGTTTTCCCTGCAACAAAAAAACTCTCTAAGAATCTCCTAAAATCAAAAATACCCCACTCCGAAAGAGTATCTCAAAAGAAACGAAACATTTTTTTAGCTTGGGTCTGTCGAGTGAAGCAAAATGTCAATTTTATCCGCTGTTTGCTTTTCTGTTTTGGAGGAAAAATAAAAAAAGAAAAAAAAACACGAGGAAAAACCTTTAATTTCAGCTTTTGGATTGCATTCAACAAACATTGCGCCTGTCTCTGCCGTTGCCTCCCGCCTTCCAATTGCCTTGCAATTTACGTTGAAAATTCGCTTTAGGCGCGCCATTGAGTGTTAATTAAGCATTTATTCAGGCATTGGGTGTCAAAGATTTTCGACTCTAAAGAGACCCGAAAATTAATGCCAGTTTTCCTTTGTTATCAACATTTTTTTTTATTTTATTTTTTTCGTTTGATTTCTCGACTGATTTTTCGGAGTTAAAGTCCAAGGCGCAACTTCATCGATCATTGTCGGTTGGTGGCACTGTGGCATTGTCAAAAATCTACACAAAAATACACAGAAAATGCCAGAGGGCCACCAGAAATGTTGATGAGACAGCCCAGCAGCCCTCCACTCCACTTGAGAGACTCGAAACTTGAGACTGATGAGACGCAAGAGAGAGAGACTTGGATGAATCATTTCTTCCGCCGCACAAGCACTTTTAATTGGTCAATAAAAAGCGGTATAATCATAGAGGAAATGCCTTAATTTGCATATTTGTTGGCCATATTTTGGCTATACATTTTGGCCATTTGCATGACAGATGAATGACACGTTAAATGTGGCTTATTGCTGTATAAAATTCTCATATGAAAGACAAATCAAATGCCGAAAACCTGTACGGAAATGTTGTTCAGGCGTGCGGAATTATTTTTGGTGGCCCCAATTGAAGGGGGAGCCTATTTGAGTGGGAATATGAACATTTGAATAGGGTTTTTCTTGAAGGAAGGAGACTGCTTCTTGGCGCCTGGAAAAATGCAGATAGTAGAAGAAAGTAAGAGAAGAAAGGTAGAATCTTCAAAAATCCTCAATCTAAATGTTTAGAGTTTGCCCCAGAACTTTTCCTCTCTAACAGCTTTTAAAAATTTTCATTCCCCTGATCTTTATATTTCTTTAAGCAGAAAAAAGTGTTAATTGAACTTTGGACACCTTCTAGCGACACTTCCCTCTCTCTCTTTCTCTGTCTCTAGTCTCTTTCTCAGTCTGGAGTGGTGCTCGTCACAAGCGGAGGAGACACCTTAATCGGGCATAGGAAATGCAACGGTAAACATTATCAACAAGAGGCCCACGCCTCCCCCTGGGTTCTAGCGGAGAGCGCAGACCCCAACGGAGAGGCAACGGCTGCTGATAAGCATCGCATCGCCCCAGTAGTACAATGCCACACACTACTCTTTCTCTCGTTCTCTGTAGCTTCTGCACTTCCTTGCTGCCATTGCACGTTGCAGTGGCAGGCAGTAGATGCAGTCAATGTGCCAGTTAGGCACTCAACTATGCGTATCTGTGTGTGTGTGTGTGTGTTGCATGTGCAACACTTTCAAACAACTTTATCACGCCACGAATCTCCACTCGTCTCGGTGCAACACAACTGAATGAATGAATGAATGAATGACTGACTGACTAACTGACGGACGACTGACGTGGTCTTGATTGAAATGCGTCGACATGCCACTGCCGCAACCGAGTGGGTGGCAGACTGGGGACTCTCTGGAAAATATGGGTGGAGGAGAGGCAAGGGAACCCCTAGGTTTCCCCAGGTCGGTGCGTATGTATTAATTAGTGTCAAGTGTTGTCGCTTTGAGTTACGCGCCCAAGGGACTACTGCCACAGTGCCTGCCCCCTGCCAAAGCTTCAGCTTCAACGATAACACAAAGCGATAGTAACAGGCAGCCGCCACTTGTTTGCCGAGGCCTCTGCCTCAGCCTCAGCCAGTGCCACTGCAACACGTTCTTCATAGACTGAGACACTGAGAGACTCTGCGTAATCGATGATGACACGTTTTGCCTGGGATGCCTCTGCCTCAAGATTCTCCACAGATGAGGAGACTGACTCTCTGGGAAGCAGCTGCCGCCTGCAAATTGCAGAGTAGAGCACCAGCAGCAGCATCAGCAGCAGACGGCGGCTCCAACTAAACATAGAGGAGCACTCAAGCTGCTGCTGCTGCCTCTGCCTGTGGACTCCTCTTTTTGTGTATGTGCTCGTATGAAAGATACTCCTGTAATATTTTTCGCGCATCCAATTACATTTATGTGCTCGTAAACTAAAAATTCTCCCCACAGCCTGCCGCCTGCCTGCCTTACAATAATTACACATGTATAAGCCATAAGCCCATGGGTAACGTAACGTAACGTCCCTCCCCATATGTGTAAAGCTGTGATTCGGTCGGTCGGTCTGTGGGAGCGGCCGTTTAGGGTAGTCTCATGAGACTATCATGGCTTTTTTTTTTTAGTCGTATTTTAAACACTTTTTCTGATTTATGGCAGGGAAAAATATTGTTAAAATTTAAATGAAAACCGAGTCGAGAAAAACTAATCTCATATTAATTTCCACAAACCATAAAAGTATCTTTGAATCTAGAAAGAAAAGCAGAAGAGAAGAAGCCTCTTTTAATGGAAATAATCTCACAATCTTTATCTTTAGCTACAGGAAAGCTGAGTCTGCAAAAAAGAAGTCTTTCAATTTTCTACAAAAAATATGTATCTTTCCATCTGCAATACAAGAAAAGTATCTTTCAATCTTCAATACAACGAAAGTATTTTTCAATCTACAGCTTAGGTAACAGAATCTTTTCCAAAAGGAAACCTCTTTTCCTGAAATCACGTAGGTGATTTGATTGCAAATCCTGAGTACTTTCTTTTTGGGCGAAGCCTCATTGGCAATTTGTCCGAAAAAAACGAACCCACATATGAGTGGAAAACACTCTACAACTAACCAGAAATTCAAGAAAAGGCTGTCTTCGGAGTCCAAGTTTTAGTTACTCTTTCAGATGTATAGATTGAACATATGCAAATAGTTATCCCTAGGATAGTTAGGTTATAGACTATGTTGCACATTATTTTAAAAGTGGAAAATATTGTTATTTTTTAGAGAGTCTCGAACAAATGGGGTAAGCATCTCCCAACAGGTTGCTATTGCCACAGGACTAACAGGTAAGGTAATACCTGCTGGAAGAGTATAGTGTTTTAAACCGCATTGGATATTGCAGAAGGCATTGATTGGATTTCCACTACAAATGTATCTCGAAGGAGCAACAGCCTAAAAGCTCTCAAGTGAAGTGCCACACGGATCTTTGGTGTGGTGTGAAAATTGTTTTGGCTCGAGGCATGCGGCATGCAGCAGTGGGAGAGCAGAGTAGATAGAGAATTATGTGGCACTTTCATATGGCCATAACCGAGCAACATGCAGCATGCAGCATGTGAATGTCGATTGCTGTTTTCTCAGCTCTACGGATCTCCTCCACTTTTATTTTCTAGTTCAGAAATGAAGCGATGCCAAGGCTACCACTGCCACTGCCATAGCCACTGCCACTTGTGGCAATTAAAATTCTTTCGAGGCATGAAATTCAAGAACATGTTTTCCTAATGAAAATTTTTTGCTCCAAACTTTATTTAATAATCAATTATGGCTTGAGTGTGTGTTTGTGTTGTCATTGACCTTCAATCTGGGTCTTAAGATCTTTAAATATCTTATTTCTTACAGGGTCCACGACGGACGGTCCAAACACACTCCACACACCTATCAGTGGGGCCTAATAGATCAGGCAATTACCAAATTTGAAAGCCTCTTAGCTTCCTTTAATGTGAATTTTGGGTTTATAATTTGATATTTCAACATAGTTGTCAATCATAAGAGCTCCGGCTTGTTGTTTGTGTTGTTTTGGGGCGTGGCATGGGCCACAGATACATCTACATCTACCTGTAGATCTCTCGGCATCTTTTGTGTGGCGTTTATTAATTTGATCGTTTGGGTTTTCTTGTCTGCTGCCGTTTGACATGATGATGGGTGCCCAACCGATCCACCATCGTTCAACATTCATTTTCGACAGCCAGCAGCAGCAACAGCCTCGTATACTGCCATTGCCTCTGCCCCCTGCCACACAGGGCTTTTGTTCCGTAAAAATACTTCAGCACAGTGCCAGAGCCCCCACGCACTTGTCATAATAGATTCGTTTATAATTTTTATTTCATTTTTCTTATTCATTTTTTTAATAGTAAATTTTGTTGCCATGGTTGAATGCAAGTTGATTTTTTTGTCGAGTTTTTGGGCTTGCCGCACATTAAATGTAATCGTAAGCGGCTTTTGTTGTGCCCCATGAACAGATTTAAATACTACCTACCCATACGTATACTTATAGTGGCGACTGTTTGATGGACGTACCTCATAAATCCATGGACAGGTTCTGAAAACATATAGAAAAGAAAATGTTAATAAGGTTAACCATTGAATATTTATTTCATTTAAAGTGAATTTAATTTAAAATTTATTCTTAGTTTAAAAATTGTAAAAAGTTAATGTTAACTCTTTCCAGTGTGGCTTAGCTGTCAAGTGTGAGTACGATTTTTTCACCATGCATCTTTTAGCTTTTTTGCTGTAGTTTTCATAGAAATTTTGCACTAAATTTTCAACTCAAATTATTTTTTTGCTCATGCGTTTTTTACGCACAACTGTACCTGTACCTCCGCCTGTAATAACATCGTTTGTTGCATGCGTCAAAAGAAGTGCAATGCCTGCCTGCCTGCCAGAAAAGTGTTGCCTACTTCAGGGCATTCAAGCATCCTCTCCCGTCCATCATCCTTCTCCTTTCGCACCAACAGAATCGTTCTAATGAACATATACAAAAATTTCAAGTGCCAGACGCGACGATGACGCGACGCTTTTCTGCCACCTACTGCCACGCCTCCTCTACACCCTCTCCCTCTAGTCCCCTAGGGACATGCCTCTCTCTATGATGCCACAGTCTGGAAGCACAGTCTGGTTGGCCTGTCTGTCTGTCTAGACTCTAGACCATGGCTAAGACCTGCGTTTAAAATGCAGCCCATTGTTGGTGTCGTTTCGGGTCCCCATTCTGCCGCTGCTCCTGGAGGCTGCTGCTGCTGCTGTTTCTGCTGCTGCTGCAAGTCTCCCCAAAGGCTCAAGACAATTGAGTCTGAGAGCGTAATTTGCAACTGCCTGAGACGCAAAACCTGGTGCCCAGGATGCAGCATGCAACCTGCCACTGCCCCCCCCCCAACTCTGGCAGGATACGGGGCAGACACTCGGGGGAGAGGTGGGGCCTAATGAGTGGAGGGATCTGCGATGCCAGTCATGACTTTGGCTTCCAGCCTACTCCCGACTCCTCCATCCTCTAGCTTTAGCCTCGTCTCCAGCCTCCTCCAGCGGACTCCATCCCCTTCTGCCTCCTGTGACATGTTGTTGCTGCTGCTGCTGCTGCTGCTGTGGCTGTTGTTTTGGCCCCCGCTTGCTGCATTTTGCATCCATAGGTTGCTGCAGGCGAATGCACCAAAAAAAGGAAAAAAAAGCACCAAGAACAACATGACGAAAACTGTTTGTACAGTAGCCCCCTTCTGCCCACTGCCGCCAGCAGCCTGAAGAGGGGAATCGGAGTTACAGGAGCAGTGGGAAGGGGCGGGTGAAGTCGGGAGCCAGAGGTAGGAATCAGAGTTGAAGCTGCAGTCGGTGGCAGACATCGTCCTGTGGCATACCCAACAGGCGTTAATAATCATTCTTGTTTTTTTTTCTTTCCTTTTTTTTTTGTTTGCAAAAAAATGCAACGAGTGTTTTGTTTTTTTTTTTTAACTGCTTTTTTTGTGTGTGTGTTGTTTTGTTGGTTGTTGGAATTGCTGTTCTTGATGCCCTGTAAAACTATGAAAAGGGAAGAAGTTGTATGGGACCATCTTGTTGGTAGGTGAATATTCTTATTCTTAAGGGATTTTCTGAATTGTGTGAACTAGCGACTTTTGCACCTTCTTTCTCACAGTGTGGCTTAGCAGTAAGGGGCAATTTTCAGTATTTTTGCTTTCTGGAATTCTGACTATTCTTAAAATTCTTTCTACAATTTCTTCCCACTCATATGTAAAAATTTCTACAGGGTATCTAATATTTTGTACTTTTCCCCTACTAGAGCATTTCTGCATGCATTTTTGTTTCAAGTTTTTTCCTTTTGGGCCTTGGATTTCATTACTTTTTGTTTGTGCGAAAACTTTTTCATTTTGTGCAGTCAGACGACGACGTCATAGAGAGTGCATTGACTGAAGTCTGCGAAACGAAAAAAAAACACACACACATATACGAGTGGAAACCGAAAAAAAAGAAGAGAAAAAAAAGAAAAGCAACCGCCAAAACAAGCGGCAAGTGGTGCATGTGGAGGAGGTGGTGCATGGAGATGTGGTGCCGGCTTCTGCTGCTCCTGCTACTGCATCTTTTGTTGCAATGTAGCAACGACATGCAGTAGCAGTGGCAGCAGCTCCTCTGTGGAGTGCAACTCTGGAGTTCAGTAGCTGGCAGCTTTTTGTCTTTGCTTCTCGCAGGAAGCGTTTTAGCTGCGAACCAAAACAAAAAGTTGTTCCAGCCATAATTAAGACTTGGCTTAGACCCCAGCATCCAGCGATAGAGTGCGAGAGTCTCTGGCTCTAAAGTGTTATTAGTTTTTTTTTGTAGCTTTTTGGCCATTGTTTTCTTTTGCTAAAGGAAGTGCCACCGAAGGAAGGAAGTTGCCAGGGAAATGGTGGATTAGGAGCTGTACATGGAGCCCCGATCGAGTCCGTTGCACTTGCCACCCGCCAAAAGCCACGCCATGCCACGCACTTCAGCCAAAGACAAAGTCAAAGCCCAAAACCACCTGCTTTTTTTTGTTGTTTTTGTTTGGCCATGGAATTGGAATTGTTTTTGGCCCAAAATTTCAGGCATCACTGAAGCCTGAAACAACAGAAATACTTCGTTTATTTAATAGGAGCATTTCCTTTTTTTATGCTTGAAAAACTTCCTCGAGAAATGAGGAGGCAAGAGGCGGCAGGAAGCAGGAACCAAGAGGCAGGCGGCAGTCGTGGCAGGAAGGAAACTTGCAGCAGCAGGCAACGACGACGACGACTGGTTTCTGTTTTTGTTGTTGTTGTTCTTGTTGCTGCCCCTGCCACCGATTGACGCGACTTTGGCTTTGGCGGTTATTAGTCGCGCGACTGCGGCTGCACGCGAATTTTTGTTTTTATTTTTGCATTGCTGTTGCTGCTGCTGCCACTGCTGGCAAAGCCAAAATCCAATTAGCTGTTCAAAAACTTTTGCAAATTCGCGCAGGGAAATTTAATTAATGTTGACACAAAAGTTAAGGCCAAAACTGAATTGAAATTGGATTTGTGAGAGGAGTGGAGAGGTGGGGGACAAAAGCTATTGAGACCCTGCTGCTGCTCTTTCGAGAATCGAGATACATATATATGAATAAGTGCTACCATTGATTGGTTGACCTTTCAGCAGTTGAACCATCAATAGAAATTGTGCGCATTTATTGCTCTACACTTTTCCCATTTACCATTTGGATTTTCCTGTAATTTTCGTGAAACATTTGCCCTGCTCTGCTGCTTGTCTGCTGCCAAAGTCACCTGTCATTTCTCCCATGTGGCATGGAACAGGCCATGGAAATGGAACCCCAACAACAATCCACCATTAAGCGGCGAATCGACCGCAGCAGAATGGATGAGCAGACCGCATTTTCAGATGTTAGCCACAAAACGACGCCCCTGCTGTCTAAAAAGGAGAAGAGGTAACAGAGATGTAGAGTCATAATTGATACTAAAAGATACCCTGCAAATAAGGAACTATGTTAAAAAAATAGTCTAAAAAAATTTTCAGAAAATACGAATTGAGTTTCTTCATTCTGGATAGATACAAAAAAAAATATTTTTCAATTTTTTTTGAGCGTTTTTTTAGATACAAAACTCCAAAAAAATTAAACAAAAATAATCTGTTTGCAATATTTTTTGATGTATTTTTAGATGAAATTTCTGTTCATAATCAAAAATCCAAATACTATTATTTTTAGACAAATAAAATACCCTTCGTTATAGCCCTAATGAAAACAATTTTTAACATTCACAGACAAATTTTTAATAAATCGCCAAGTATAGGGTATATTCCAACACCAAAAATAGAGCATTACCAGGTGCCACCGAGTGCTACCCCCCTCCCTCTTACCAGCGGCAGCTCTCCTTCCCTAGGGGCATACTACCAAAAATGGACTCCACACCGGCGACCGCAGCGTTTTTCAAGCGTTAAAACATAAAAATGTCATTAACACTCAACAGATTTCGCATTGCGCTGCGGCGGTCGAAAGCAAGCAACAAACAGGGCCAACAACAAACGGTTTAAATGGCCAATAACAAATTGTTGCAAATGTTCGTTCCCCCAAAAAAGAACAACAAGGCAACAAACGAGACCGTCTACACACAGCACAAAGTATTTCTTTTCCTTTTAGTTTTTCACGTCCAGTTTTCGTTTTTCTTGTTTTTATTTTTCGCATTTTGTTGTAGACGCAAATTTATTTGACGCTTAAAACCGAGCTGCAGACAAGAAAATGACACAGAAACCGAGTTTAAGCCGCGGCTTAGAGTGCCCCAGAGCGTGGCTTAGAGCTGGAGGCAACGGCACGGCACCACCTTCCCACCAAAAGAGGGATCATCAGCAGGTGGGGATTGGCAGCGGCAGTGGCAGCTAGAGGTATAGGTAGAGGGTATCATTTACGCCATAATTTTTCGCTGGCTCTGAATATTTTCCTTAATGGTTTTTAATGAGCGGCTTGGCGCGTAAAAGTGTTGGGGTGTTGAGAAATATGCCTCTGATTTATAGGAATCTGTAGTCTATATTTAAGGCCACACCGAAAAGGCAACGAGAGCTTGTTGCAACCTACGACAGCACCCCAAGTATCTGTATCTGTGTCTGGTGTTAATAGTTTTGGCATTTGCGGATGGATCAGATCTATGGATTGGCGACAGCTTAATGGGGGTTCGATTTTCGTTTGGTTGGAACAAAAATAGTGATTCAGATGATGAGAATGATTGAAAGCAGCTAATTTGAAACCAGGGAAATTTGTTTACTAAAATGGAAATAAAAGGCAAAAATTGTATGCTCAAATGATTGCCAAAAGCGCCTTACAAATTTATGTAAAGTCATTGAAAGTTCACTTTGTTCAAGGTAATCCACCTTTTAGAGATTATCCCCCATTTATTTGTGCACCTGTTTCATTATCCCCTCAAAAACCATTCTCAAAAGCACTCCCATGCTGTGGCTTTCCCATGATTATGTACCTTCCAGCAGTAGCAGGAGCAGCAGTGCCTTCTATAGACCATTAAAAGACACTTCCTCTTTGGGGATCCTCTCAATTACCCTGCAAGATTGCCTGCTAACTGGTTA